AGAAAAAAAGAATCCGATATGTCTATCCGATGGCGCATATTTTGTCCTGCAAAACAAATCACTATTCCACAACTGTAATTATAATGATTACTTTGAAAGTAGATTCCACCCTGACGTTCCGAAGAGCGTTTCAGAATGAACAAATATTATGCAGAATTCTAGAAGCAAAAACTATGTAACTATTCCTATATTTTTTGGGGACTTTTAATGATGATTTCGAATTTGCTACCGTTATGGTAACAAAAGCATTAACATTTCCCACAAAATAAATAACTTGTAATCTTGATATGTCTCAGTAATTTTTCATTTACAAGGTACCAGCCAATAAGTATCATTGTTTAGGAACAGCTCATAACAAAAGAAATTCAGTATTTCCTTCCAAAAAGCTACACAGCACTTGCTTGCTGTTCCAAAGGAGCCTCGAAGAGTTTTAAATTGAAATAATTTAAAGTGAGGTTGAGATATGTGCAAAATCCTGATTTGCGAGGTTGATGGAGCAGGGTCGGCAACTCACTCCTGACTGCCGGGATCTGACCACAGAATATCGGTCAAGATAGCAATCTGGTACAACGTTGTGGTCGGCTCCATCCATCGCGGCGGTCTTTGTATGCTTGCTATTTCGCTACGAGAATTAGCGAACTGGGAAACTCCACCGTGACAGCAAAGTATCTGGTCTGAAATGTACTAGTTCAGAATTAGTAACAAACACTAGCAACAAGTAACAAAGTAATAGCGTAGTAAGGCACTAATCAAATGAAAGAGTCGTTTTTTCAGCGTTTCATCGCAAACCATTAATATACTTCAGATTTCTTATATATGTCTTTTTGCATCATTTATGAAATGCAAAATGCATATTGAGGAGCGGTTGATGATGTGCATGACTGCATTATAACCACTTTCAAATCAGCAACCAGAAAAGCTAGAAATCTGTAGTCTTACGAAAATATTCCTATTTATTCATACGCGACGAGCCTATTCGCATGTGCTTTCGCGTAAAAGCCGAAATTGGTAAGGCATTCCCATCAAACTATTTCGAAAATCAGAAAAAATGGAAAGCTACACCTGATCTGAGCAATTATTTATTATCCTTTATCCTTTAGGCTATACCACTGCTTAACAAAAAAATGCGCTGGAATATAGTACTGTATGTTGGATTGTGTTGGCACCATGCTAAGCCGTGAGACCAAATCCTGTTAGTCCTTGCTTGAAGTTGTAATTTTTATGTTTCATCAAGGGTCGCAATCTTTACTAAGGGCTTCAAGAGGTCTAAAAATTAATTTGGGTTTCGGGATCTGTACGCATCCTGAGCAGTGCTTCCTTCATCCCGGTTTTTCAGCTTTCAGAGCTCCAAGATGAAAATCGTAGCGACGGAGAGACGCAACAGGTTAAAAACATGTACAAAGACGTGGGGGAGCGAAAATGCGTCTTTGCTATGTCAGATGTAAAAACAAAAAAAAAGAAATCAGAAGCTTAAATACCCTCAAGTACCTATTTTCGTTAGATAACGGACATAAACAGATGCAGAAGGCAACAAAAACCTATAGGCGTGCTACTATTATAGCATTATTTTGCTTTGCTTATGCAAAATACGTAAAATTCTTTTGCTTAAGGTAAGTGAAATTTTGCACATAATAAGCGGAAAATACCCGAAATGATAGCTGCAAGAGGCAAATGATCGAAGACGTTGTTGAGTGTGAAAAACAGTACATGCTTGTCCTCTTCCGGATATGCGCCCTCCAGCTGCAACTTGCTCGTAATAGGCTGGTAACCATAAACAAATTTTACTTTATTCAGTGTGTAGATTTTTAAACCACAGCTAGTCGCAAACAAATTCTGCCTATTTTTCCGTTCCTAAACTAAACTCCTCAGCATTTTAGTGTTTGCAGAAATTCAATGAAGAAAAAACAACGGGAAACGTTAAATTTTGAGTTAGCAAAATGAATAAGCGTCAACTTCGAACTCCTGGATTTCTAGAAGCCAAGATAATTGATAGAATTATTGAGTTCCACATTTCAAGGAGCATTCCCCCTGTTCCGAGGCTTAGCAATATTTAATTAATTAGATTGTTAACTATCAACAAATAAATGATTGCTAAAGCTATCATAGTGGAAGATTGCTGTCTGAAACGTCCTGCAGTGTCTCAGAAGACTTCGCTAGTAAACGAACGAACATGATCGATGAGTCCGTAGAGTGCGCACTGTTCGTAGGTTTCGTGATTACCACGCAGTAACACCACTCTCTTTCTGTAACGTAGTTTGAGAAGGAACAGAAGCAGTAAAACTTCGATTGGATGATCCCCACGATCAATATAATCACCTGTAATTATTATGCTTATTCCACATTTGGGTAGAAAAATTAATTAGTCCTCAACAATATTCGGTCAAAAGTTTGGTGCATAAAACTGATATCAAGACCGCTTGAGGATCTAGAGTGGATAATCAACATTGCATAAAAAAGTATACAGTAGGTAGTCTTACAATTGTTATTAATTCAGTCAGTTACCTCTTAATCCAGTTAGTTATTACAGACGGCAAGCGTGTGTTAAAGCTGAATTTGAAATGTTTAGCTCACACAAGAATACAGATGATCCCTGTGAAATTTGAACTTCCTGGTTGCTCAAACTACTTTTCCGCCGAAAATTTGCATGAAATCCTTTAGTTATCTGTATGTGAGACCCAGGATACGTGAACATTTTTTTAAAGCTTATTCACAGAGTCGTCTCGGCCGTCTAACGATAGCAGTGCTACTTTCCACAGTGCCTCGCTTGCCATCGGTGGAAATGCAGTTACCTAAAAAGATCAGCGTTCTCTCGGTAGGCCATCCTGTATTATTTAGCGACTTCATGAGATCGGTAAAATCTGCGTGCAAATCACCGATAACTGCCATTCCACTAGGATCATGTACATACTCCAATGTTTCTCCTTCTTTTAGCACTTCCGCTACATTATGACATATCTGTAAAAAAGCCGGTAAAGTGCCGCTTGCCAACAAGTACACAGCTAGAATTTTCTTTTTTTTTT